ATGTAGTATGACAATATATGAGATATATATGCATACAATATTCACGAGTTCCTCATCTTTCTGACTGTGTAATGTCGTGCATTGAATTTAACAGACATGTAACGAGAGACGTTATTTATCTTTGACCCATCAAAATGAATGCGGTCATTTATTTTCAGAATCAAAATTTAACATCAAACATTTACATTAATTTGGCAAAATATGAAAATAATAACAGACAAGTTTCACAGAAAATGAACTTCAATCACGCGGCGGTGACTGAGGACTTTGCTTCAGATATTTCTAAAATATCTGTACTGATTTTATGAGATAGAGGAGAGTTTTAAGATGAAATGGAGATTTATCTTACAGAGAGATATGTGAGGGAATTAATCTGTTTGTCCAGAACGTGCACGCTTCATCAGATCTCAGCTTGCCTCCGGTACACTTTAGTCAAATAGAAACTGTTACCTGGTTGACGTAGATCAGCTCGGTATAGAATCCTTCCGACTATTTCAGCGTCTCCGTTGAGAGCAGCTGAAATCCTTCGAGAGTCGTGCGTGGTTTGTTCAAACAGAAGTTATAATCCCAAAACGTCTCTGGATCATCCTGAACGCGTTTGCACCCAAGAACTCTGAACTCCTTTCACTCTAACAGAACTCTCAGGATCTGCATCACTCCCTCCAAACTCTTTCCTTCTTAGGAACTGACTAGACTCTTCAAAATCTTTCAACTCCAGCAACTCTCTAGTTCTTCATCTCTGGAATTCTCACATGAACTGGGAAGTTGCCACATTTTAAATGGGTCGACTTCCGGTTCATTTGAGAGCTTTTGATTGGTCGATGGACCAGGAATAGAGGTGTGGTGTATGATGTAAGATGTTATTAGAAATCAAGGATTGTTTAGTAACGAACAGAAAGATTATTGTAGGACTTCAGACTTCGTGGAGTTTCACACTTATAATCTTCTGAAAAAGTTTAAACATGACATCTTTCTCGGTAAACATTTTAGTTGACCGAAAACCGACCTTTAACATACTTACATTGCAGACAGAAAAATCAAGAAATGCATATTAACCTGATTTCTTCTTTGAATGAGGAATAAAAATCATTACTTACTGTTTATGTAAAATAAAAATGAGTAGTTCTTTTCAACCTGTAACATTGAGTGAACTAACACAATTTGATTATCAAACATTTGTAAACAGTGATGATCATAGAGAATTGTCTTTTCTGCTTGATTAATTCAAGAAAGAAAGTCATCAGATGGCTCAGACTGTATTCAGATCAATGAAATAACAGTCCCTGTCCATCTGATAGATTTGGGGTCATCAGGGTCAGATCAGGGTCAGATCAGGTTCACTACATATATATATAATTTTGGGATCTCATATGAGCCTACATTTACTTCTTTTTGTGTTTGTACTTTTATTTGTAATATTTTTTATTTTACATTTATGCAAGTTCATTAACATATAAAGCACTATGTGTCTAATTTCTGTCATACTTAGTAGTTTTTCTCATTTTTTAAATCTTTTGTCACTGTTTTCTGATTTTCATCTCTGACATAAAACTGAGAGCTCCTAATTATAAGGTCATTTTTACACTGCTTTTAGTGAACCCTAACATTTTAATTACAAACAAAACAAACAAACAAACAAAATCCCACAAACCTTTAGTCTGAAGGTTTACTCTTCTGTCACACATGAACACTTAAAAAGACAGATGTATTTTTTACAACTCAGTTATCCATTTTTCTATGTTTGTTTGATAAATAAATTAATACGATTTTTAAAAATACATCCACCGGTTAATGTTTTGATTAGATATGTTAATAGTAAGCATTAATATGCACCTTTGGTTAATTTATTTACTCTTAGAAACAGGAGTGAACTAGAATGAAATCACAGTTTGTTAAATAAATAAATAAATAAATAAAACTCTAAGCTACTATCTCCAAATATGACTTAGCATCTCATGAAATACATTCTCAATATTATCAGAAGCTAAGTTATAATTGTGGGATGCTATGTCATTTAATTTTAGATATTCTGTCACATATGATATTCTAAGTCCTATTAGAGATAAGTTGATCATTCTTATTAATAAGATAGTATATCATAACTCTAGCTCCAATGATGTTTTATTTTTCACCAGTGTTGGAAATGCAGTTCCATTAAGCAGAAAGTTTGAGAAGTCAAAATTACATAAACCACCTTAAAAAAAATAAATAAATTAAAAATAAAATTAAAAACCGACTCTTATTTTGAAGCGCTCGCAGGGTATAATGTACTTCCTGTGAGGCGTTTCCGCAAACAGTCGCGCGCTCAGAGGACAAACATGGCGGACTTCTCGGAGAGGACGCTTCAAGTCGCCGTGGTGGTTTCTTTTGCCGTGGGCTTCTTGTCGGGCTGGCAGGCGAACAGAATGAGGAGGAAGTTTCTGGACTGGAGGAAGAAACGACTTCAGGACAAACTGTCAGAAACACAGAAGAAGCTGGACTTAGCCTGATGGTAAACGGCAGATTCGTCACGCGAAGTGACGCCCCAGCTTGAATTAAACCGGACATATTTTAGTGGTTTTTTTGTAGTTCTTCGTTTTACCATTCTCATTTCTTATTTTTTTCTTTATTTGACAGACTGTGAGGCTGCTGTCTCCTGGCTGTCCTACATATCTGTCCTGTGTCCCACGCCTGAAGAGACTTCATATTTTTGCCAAGAAGATTCAAGAGGAACTTGAAAGATCAGAAGCTCCTTTCTGTTCGTGCATGCATTTATATGGACACATTTGGGGAAAATGTATTTTGTGGGTCCTTTTTTTTTTTGTCAGGATTTTTATCTGTAAAATTAAGCATTTGTATATTTTTGTCCACTAGCTTTTTCAACTTTCTGTACACTTGTTTCAAGCAAAGAAAGAGTGAGCAAGAGAAACTAACAGGATTTGTGTTGTTGTTCTGCCACCTGCTGGACGGAAAGGAACATTACAGCTACGTCCAAACGCTCCTGGAGGGACAATGTTCTGCATGTTTTAGATGTTTTTCTATTTGAGCACAGTTGAATTGAATTAACAGGTTTCTGCAGAGCTTGATGACATACTGGAGCAGGAAAAAGAGCCAAAACATGCAGGATAGTGGACCAGGACTTGGCACAACTGGTGTAGTTTTCTGTTTTTACTTAATACTAACGAAAGATAGGACTATTGTGGCTCTTAGTCATGTAAATTATAGAAACATAATATTTTACAGACTGTGGTCAAATATATCAAGGCTAACGCCTTAAATCATTGTGTGTTGTGTTTCAGCGAACTGATTGTGTTGACACAATTTAACTTGCAGCTCATTAAATCTCACACCATGAGCACTTTACACACAACTGCTTCACTGTAATTAAAAGTAACTGTTTTGGTCTTGTTTAACAACCCATTACAAACTTGCATCATTGTTTGATGTAATACATGAATGGTTGAGAGCTACAGTTTTGTTTGCAAGTGCGCTTAATTATTTGAATGCTGAGTGACGTTGGTTGCAAAAGATGGAATGAAAAGTCAAAAAGTAATGTTTTGGGTCAGATAAAAAAAAATATTTAAATAAATGAAAAATGGCATTTTCAGGACAATTATATACATTCCAAAAGTTGCAAATAAGCAAAACAATTTATGGAGATCTGCAACCTGTCTGGAGTCCCAAGATGTTGGATGAAAGTAAAGGTTGAAACACGAACACTGAATGACGTTCACAGACTGAGCTGAGCGGAAACTCAAGGCAGATTTGTTCAGAGTTTTATGGAGAGATTAAATAAGCCTCACTCTTGGTGGAGCTGGTTTGAACTTGTTGATTAAAGATTGTCTTGGAACCAACTTTTGGAAGATAAATCATCAGGCGTTGACAGAGATTCATCTATTTCTTGCTGCAAGACAAAACGGTCATGCGTAAAAAAAAAAAAAAACAAGCATGAAAGTCTGGTCCTCCATTTACCAGATTCCTAATGGTGCCGGTGCTCGTTCTGAATGTGTAGTTTGCATCTTTTTAACCAGGATTTGGTAAACTGGTTGCTGCTTCAATAAAAGCTGATCAGACCATTTGCTGGATGGATGGAGGTGATTTTTTCGTAAAGGTTTAGGACAACCAAACAATTTGTAACAAATTCTCTTGAATTTATTCATCCAATAATTGCCACAGCTGTTATTTGTGCAACATCTGTGTTTTAAGTTAAATTTCAGTTGATTTATCTAGCACCAAGTCACAACAGAAGTCATCTCGGCACTGAACAGAAACATTCATATACATAAAATGTAAGTTAATATAATTTATCTGAGGAGCAGACTGCTTTGAATTGAGTTCCATCACAGACTCATCTTGAGCAAACATGAAGGCAACAGTGGAAAGGAAAAACTCCCTCATGAGGAAGAAACCTTTATCAGAACCAGGCTCAGGACAAGCGGTCATCTGCTTCGACCGGCTGGGTTTGAGAGGAACAGGAAGGAGGAACAGATACACAATGGCAGGCTGAGAATCACATGGATAGAAATAGTATAAAATGAAAACTATTCAATTTTAACAATTTTAAGAAATGAGGTCAGTTTGTCCTCTAGTAGTCTAAGCTTAAAGGATATAAGAAGCCAACCCTAACTATAGGATTTATCAAAAAGGAAAGTCTTAAGCCCAGCCGTAAAACTCACGGACAGAAACTGGAAGTCGGTTCCACAAGAGAGGAGCCTGATAACTGAACGATCTTCCTCCCATTCCGCTTTTGGAAACTGCCACAAGTAAGCCTGCAGTCTGAGAGCGAAGTGCTCTATTAGGAAAATATGGAACAATAAGATATGTAATTTAAGAAGGAGCTAGGTTGTTGAGGGCTTCGTAGGTTAGAAGTAAGAATTTGGAGTCTTCTGGATTTGACAGGGAGCCAATGGAGAGAAGCTAAAACTGGAGAGATGTGATCTCTCCCACTAACTCCAGTTAAGCCTCTGGCAGCAGCATTTTGGATCAACTGAAGACTTAAAAAAAAGTTTTTGTTCAGCAATAGTCCGAAATGTTCATTTTCACACACATTACAAATAAAAACAAACAAACATTAAAATTATTGTCTAGAATAAACATACTTCATATTTTATTCCCAGAACTGGCAAACTCCAGAAACGTGTCAGCAGCGTATCACATAAGTGTCATTTGGTTTTATTAGATCCTAGCTGCAGATGTGGGAGGGGGTCTCTCTGAGCCTGTCTGTAGGTGGAGCTGGTACTCTGTCTCTATCCTGCACAGAAGTTCTCCTTCCTCTAACATTCCTGTCACTGACTCTGAAATTAGATTTTGTGTGTAGATCTCCTTTTTTTTTATCATCGTCAGCTGAGCAGCTCTGTGTCTCAACAAGCTTTTTGACAAAACCTTAAAAAGTCCTTTCCCTCTCCCCCTGTAGCATTTTGTCATCGACGAGGAGGGAGATCAGTGGAGGTTAAGCTTCAACTCGTCCAGGAATATAAAGATGTCTCTGTTTATTATTTACAGACTTTATGTTTCAGGCTGTGTAGACGGGGGAATGTGCAAAGCCATGAAAATCCCCCCAGTCCTCAAAAATAAAAAGAAGCAACAGCTTCTTTGAGGACGTTTTCAGGGATGATCCAGCACTTTCCATTAACACGAGAAAAATGAAGCTAATTTCCAAGCGTAGATTTTAATGATCTTAATTACTTTAATTTAAAGTCTACACCCTTTAGTTGCAGTCTGGGTCATTTTGGAGTAATGTAATCTGAAGGTGTCACATTAGACTGTGTGAGAATGTTTCATTAGACCGTTAGCAGGGGAGCATATGTGGCAGAAACTGCTCCCACGAGCACGCTTTTTCACGCTTTCATTAAGACCAAAGTTTCTAATATCTTGTTTTACGCAGAATCAAAAACTTTGTAGTTTGTAAAATCAGTTGTTCAGGAAAATCCATTCCTCAATATACCATATTTTTCAGGCGCATTAAGCAAAACGAGTTCATTTTGACAGATTTTTGTGCGCCGTGGACCACATAACATCGGTTCGAGGTCAGTAAGCACAACCAGAATTCATACATAAGGTGCACCTGATTATAAGGTCAATTTTTAAGAAAATAAAATGATTTTAAGTGCGCCTTACAGTTCGAAAAATACGGTAAGCCAAGCATTATTTGACAAAATGCATGCCCACATTTAATGCCAGAGATATAAACAAAGACAATCCAGTGTTGAGAAATGGTGGCGTTCAGAATATACCTTGCGGGTGACTCTCAGCTACTACCACACCACAATGTAGCTTAACATTTGTTTTGTGTTGGCAAAAGGTCAACTAGGTGTGGTGGCTATCTTCTTTTCAGGTTGACTTTGACAAAATCTGTCCTTTAGACTGTTTTCTTTGTGTTTTGTTTATTTCCTTTTCTGATCCTTGTGTTCGACTCTGTTCCTTTGTGTCTGGCTCCATCGTGTTGTCTGTCCCAGCTATTGCTCCCTCATGTACCGTATTTTCCGCCGTAAACGTCACTCTGCCCTATAAGTTGCAGTATTCCAAATAAGTCTAATAAAGTGGAAAAATCCATAAATATGTCCCTTCGCCGTATAAGTTGCATATATTATGCGTCACCGCTGAAGCGTCACGTTTGCGTGGCCATTCATTTCAAATTTAACGAAATAACCACCTAAAAACAATTAATTGTTAACTCGACTTTATAGTAAAGATGTATCTTAGTTGAACTTTTACTTAATAAATGCATTTTGCCGGGGCAGCTGATTAGGTTGCTCCAGGCAGACGACGGCGGCAGGCTATGGCAAGCCAATTGTGTCATTAATAGCCATTTTTACCTATTACATCAGGGGTGTCAAACCCACTTACAAAAGGGGACCAAAATTAAAACCTTTTTCAAACTAAGGGCCGGTTTCAGAATCTACATTAACTCAAGTTAAATACCCAACATATTTTCTTGATTGCAGGTTCCTCAACAAGAGTTTAATTGTCCTTATTTGACATTTTCTGTTGCATTTTTGACATCATAATCAAAGATTACCGAAAAAAATTAAAGTGATATAATTATTGTACATTTTAAATAACATATTGTAGTCCAGATAAAATGTTAAGGAGGGCCACATTTGGCATCTCAGCCTTGAGCTTGACACATATGTATTACATGATACAACGACATACCTTACTCGACTGCTAACTGGTGGCTGAAAATGATAGTGTTCAATTTTTTTCATTCAGAATGAATGAAAACGGTCATATCTCAACCAAAAATTGTTTTATAAATATGGGGAAAATATCCATAAATACATGACTTTGGCCTACAAGTTGCAGGGCATGCAAATTATGCAAAAAAAAAAAAGCGACCTATACGGTGAAAAATACGGTAATCAAGTTCTCCGCCTCCTACACCTGTTGTCTGTCCCAGGTTTTTTCACTCGGTCTCGTCAGTGTCTGCGTATGTCTGCGTCTCCTGTTCTTTGCTGTCTGGGCATTGTCTCATGAAGGCTCCTTGCTCCTGTGTTGCACCACGTCCTGGTTTAGTGTCCCTCTGCGTCCTCTCATGGTTCATGGAAGTTGTTGCTGCCACGTCAGCCCTTTGCTTTATTTTCGTTAAAGAACGTTTCCTTCAAGCCTGAGTCCTCCCTGCGTTTTGGGTTCAACCACCATCAGATTGTTACAGACTCCAAAAGCTGATGAGCTGTAGCTGTCCGTCCAATGAACACTTTCTAGTTTCCTTCAAATCACTCATTCATATTTTGCTAACACAAACAAAAAAACATTATTACCTGACTTCTGTTTATAGTCT